TTAAAATTGAACTTCTATGCCAAGTTTTTACCTGTCATCAAAAAGAAATTGGCGACATTTTGTTATTCTTAAATTCTCATCTAATATGTTTTAACCTCTTCATGTTTGCTTTTAAATTCCTTAAATTCTGTTAAAAGAATGTCCAAAGCTTATTTTTTGTGTCAAAAAGTTTGTCTTTTGGATGTAATAAAATTTTAAAACAATAAAAATTCTTTGGTGCAAGAAAAAAACAAGGCAAAAAGAAATGGCTGCAAGAGATTAATACATAGAATTAAAGTTAGATTCTCAACATTTTAAAAAGTAAATTATAATTTTATTCAGAGATAAGAAATACAATTAAGACCAACAATCAATTTTATCCAAAATTTAGACAAATACCGAGTGAAATGAGCAAGAAATTCCAACGATCCCTATAGTACATTTGAAAGAAAGATCTACTTCTACAAAGAAAACAATTTAAATTTTCACATTACATTAAAATATAATTTTAAATATGAAACGAAGATTAATAAAAAAAAAAATGATAGCAATTGATTTTGCATTTTTTTCTTAAAATGTTTTAAATTTCTTTAAAATAGAGTTAAGAAAAAGAAAAAAAAATGAACTCACATTTATGTTGATGTCAAATTTCGTTTGGTTTTTCAGTTTTTAATCTGAAGGAAGTTGACACTATAAGAATGAAAATGGAACTTACAATAATAGCCAAGAATCTTTTTTTTAAGTAGTCTTTGATTTTATGGCATTCTATCTCTACACCCCACCCTTTATATCTTTTGAACTTTCTTTTCACTACCAATTCACAGACATGAAAAATCAAAATGAAAAAATTGACACCAAAGTTATGGATTTCTTACATAGGTGTGAAAAAAAAATTGTATTCAAGTAGGTACTAACAAAACGCTAAGAAGGGTTGGGGAGGAGGTAACTCATGGTATACTTAAACACCAGCCCAAATTGATCACCATGGATAAGTGGGGGCCTTCCCACTGCCTGACAGCACTTCTGAAGACTTTTTTTTTTCTTTTTTTTTAAACAAGCTGGCATCATTTGAACCCTATCTAAAATTTTCTTCACAGGTTTGGCCAAATTATCAACACTACCAGCAACCAAATATAGACATTTTAAAACTAAAATTAAAAACTATTCATTTTTATATCTAACTTTAGGTGTAATAACAAAAAGTTGTTTCTTCTTCTTCCTTATGGCTGCCTTTGTTGCAGCAAAAATAATTTACTTCATTGGAAGTGCTGCCTCCTCGGGGGGGGGGGGGTCACTACACCACCACCCCTACCCTTTGCATGCCACTGAGTATTTGGCATTTAGGTCCACCAGTCTTCTGTCTTTACAGTTCACTAGCAGCCCATAGTGTCACAGAAAGTCAGTGCTCAAAAGTGGGTTAACAGTGTCAGCCACCACCACAGTCCATATACGAATGATAAAGTCCTAGAAAGTCTATTTCAATAGATGCTTCTCCCTAACACTGGATTTCTTGTCCATTGGCTGAAGATAGGTGGAATGATGTTGTGTTTAGGCAGAGTCTATTGGCATATTTGCAAGGTAGTATTGTCACTGAAGCATGATGAGTATCAATCAGGAATTTCAGCATTGTTTTTCCAATCCAGGTTGCAACCTCAAAAAGCAGTGAATCACTGGCTGCAATAGCAATTCACCCTAAAAGTTTTCCAAAAGTCTCTTCATTCAGTATAGGTTCTCTGGCTGGTGACGTTGATCTGGAATTTGGCTATATTTTACAGGCTGCTTTATTTGGCCACATGCCATCATGGCTTACCTGATTAAGATTTTTTTCCCAAAATAGAGATGTCCATGGACTATGCACAATACTCCATTTTAACCACAGATTTGGGATTTGTTTGAATCCAGAATTGTCCTTCTCCTAGAATAGTTCCACTATCAAATCTAAAGAGCCCAATCAATCTAACTGCTTTTACCCATTGCTAATGTGTTTGTCTGGTGGACAATTGATATATTTTTTCATTTTCCAAGAAAATAGTTTTTCTTTAAAACTTCAATTTGTGTTTGCTTTGTTTTCAAGATTCCAGATTTTCTCAAGCAGTTTGGGCCTATGATCAATATCAATTCTTTTCTTTTAATGGTTATCTCTTCAAGACATACATGAAAATAGCCATCCACAGCTTCCTTTTCATTAATGTTTTAGAATTGCCATGACTGTTTGGTGGGGTAAAGATAGTGGAGAGTTTCTTGTTTTTTTCACAATACTGAATTCAGATCTTTCTCTGAAAAGCAACACAACTATTTTTCCATAGCTGCCAAAAGAAGAAATGGCTTCATACCTTTCCAGAGACCATTGGTGCAAAAGAGAATGCAACAATCATCTATGGAATTTCAATTGTTTCCATATTCTGCACTAATAACTATTAGACCACCTACAATTACCATGAATTATATATGTGTATATATATATATATAGGAATAATAACAAATGAAAATCTTTAATATCTTTGATTCTGAGGGTCAAAGGTGCCTTAGTGGAATGGTAGGTAAAGAGTACCAGCCATACTGTATGAAATCAAAAGTTAAATAATTGACATATGTTTCATGGGGGTATTTTTGGAAATGGTGTTGGTTTGTGGTATAAAATCAAGGGAATTTAGAGTATGGACCTCAACAAAAAAAAAACAATACCTAAAATTTAATGAATTTCTAAAAATGGAAAATCTTTCTTGAAACTTTTATTTTAGTTTTAATTTCAAGCAAAGAGATTAAATTTAATATCTATTTCCGGTAATCAAAAATTTATCTGTAAGACATAATTTAAGAAAATGACATGTGTGCCTTTGTATATAATTTTTAAGTACTCAGTAATCTTAAAAATTTAAGAAACTAGTGTCCGTAATTTAATGTTTTATTGAATTTTAGATACTTTCTAGTTTTAAATTTACAATAGTTATCACTTTTATTTTCTGATAATGTCAAGTATGGTCACCTGTACTTACAAAAATGGGCACATCTATACATATACAAAAAAATTCTAAATTATTTTTAAAATATTGGTGTTTGATGATTTGTATAATCTTTTCCATTTATGATTAGTAAATTGGTATATATAATTTTTACTTAATAATAATATCATCTAAAAGGCTGAAATTAATACAGAATTTTAAAAGATTTAAAACTTCATAAATTTTTCCAAATAAAATTTTTAAAAAATGAAAACTGTTCTTGTAAAAATTCATTATTCACCGAAAAAATTATTCTTAACACAATATTGTACTTAATTTATCTTGTTTATGAAAGCAATTAAAGCTTTTCTAATTAAATAATGTCATCGGTTTATTACATTTTTTATTTTATAATTCAAAGCAGGTTTTTAATAAATAGTGTTTCTGTTTGACAAAAACAAATTGATGATTTAAATTCTCCAATAATTCCTGCTTTTATCTAATAAATTTATATGAAGAGTCTGACATTTTAATTTCTCAAAATTTCAAAAAATTATGTGGTGGTAACAGATATGAAAAAAAAATATTTTTACCAAGATTTTCTAAAAAAATTTCAAAAATAATTTCATTCATTTGGGAATAAATCCTGAAAATTTCATTAAATTCTGACAATTATTTGATTTTTTGCAAGAATTTCCAAAGCAATATGTTTTTAAAGCTAAAAAATTGCGAAAAATCCCTGTATTAATGTTTGGCCCATCTGAAGACGCAAGAAAAACAAGATTTTTAACCAAAATCAAAAAATCCTTTGGTCTTTCCTCTTAATAATAACATACACATTTTGATGATAAAACTTTGTTTTTGTCAAGTTTGGGACATTTTTTCATCATAGTATGCTCTTTTTTAGAAAGTTTTTGAAGGTACCTAAGTTAGACATAATTCATATCTAGAACTTATTGGGTAAAGTTATGTTAACACAAGCTTCAAACAATATTAGAGCACTTGTAGATTTTCTGACCTGAAACAAAGTGTCAGGTGCAGCAGTGACCCATCCAATCACTGGACTTCATAAATATCTTAAAGCAACAGGTTGAAACTAACATCTGAAACACCAAGTTCTCAATTGCAAATAATTAGTTTTTCTTTCTACTTTGTTTCATGATTACACTTTGAAGTAGTAATAGACATAGTAGTGTTAAGTTGTCTAGATTTGTTGGATGAAACATAATCATTATTAAAGTTAGGATACTTGTTTCTGTTGGTAGTTGCATAATTAAAAGAAAGAACTTGTAGTTCTAATGAATGATTTATTTTATGGAAATATTTCAACTAGCAATTGCCAGTCTTGGTCACTCTTTTAATTTGAGTAAAACAGTGCAAAGAAACTAAAAATGTTTAAGCAATTTGTAGAGTAAAAACAAAATTCCACTTTTTTGTTTTATGCCTCAAGCACTCACTACTGGATTTACTTGCGATTACCTTGTGTATAACTGTTACCTTTATTCTTATTGTACTGGTTTTTACAATAAAACTTTACTTATTCTATCCACCATGTTTGTCAAGTATATATTCCTATTAGCATGGAATATAACAGTTTTTGAAGAGAGTTGCTAGGCCCATGCCCAACTCTCGTCTTTTAACCTCAGGACTTGTTTGAATTCAGAGCTGTTGTTCTATTAGACTGATTGTTCAATTATCTGTATATCCACATTAATAAAAGGATAGACAAACACATATTCAAATTGTCATGGATTATAAAGCAATGACGAATGAAAATTCAATGTCTTTGATTCTGACTGTCAGAGGCACCTTAGAAAAATGGTAGACAAAGAGTTTCAGCCATACTGCATGAGACCAAAAGCTAATTACAAAGAAGTAAGTGATTATTATTATTAACCTGACTAGATTTGATTATCTGATTTCCATTTCCAAGCCATTATCCAAAATAAATTAATTTTATGAAGTTAAACTTTTTTAAAAATAAGTTTTTCATTTTATAAATTTATCTGGCTGTGTTTTACATGTTAGGGGAAGGGGGATGCAAAAGTGTAATAATGCCCATCATCTGCCCATACAATCTTACAGCACCTGGTATTCCAAAATGGTCACCCATCTAGGTACTAACCAGACTCAATGTTGCTTAACTTTGGTGGTCATACGAGAGCCAGTGTTTCAATGTGATATGGTCATGAGCCTGTGATGAGAAGAGATTGATTCATAACTTACTCAAAGCTATTTGTTCAAAAACGAAGGCAACGAAATTGGCAGGAATTTGATCTTGACACACCAATTCCATTTTCTATATGTTATATTCCATGCTAATAGGAATATATACTTGACAAACATGGTGGATAAAATAAGTAAAGGTTTATTGTAAAAACCAATACAATAAGAATTAAGGTAACAGTTATGCACAAATTTGTCGCAAGTTAATCCAGTAGTGAGTGTTACAATTGGAAGGTTGGTAGTTTTTGCATAAGTCTGAGTCATACTCAACAGATCCCAGCTAGTATATTTAGCTACCCCCCATGAGGGTTGCATGTGGCACAAGGCCAGTTTAATGTGGGTTCTCCGAGCCCGTAGGCTTGGCCAAAAATATTCCTTTTTTGAACCCGTATAAACGGGTTCAGAGTTAGTCTACCTCCCCGAATGAGACTCTGCCCTTTGGCGGAGCCCCATCCGGGTTCCTCTCTGCCCGAAGACAGAGAGTTCAAGAGTCTAGCTGGAACAGGTCACAGCTAGTCTCTGTAGTCCATTGACTTACAGATACTTATTGGCAGTTACTACCTATAATGTAGTCACTCATGGGGGTGACAGGTTATTCCATTACATCACTATATCAATGACTGCTACATGATATGCATATCCTCTATAAATGTATAACAATTTGGGGTGCTGTTACACTTTTGCACCCCCCTCCATGACACGGTTAAACACACAATGTTTTTTGTCTTCAGTTCTTTTTTAGTTTTAAAAAAAAAAATATGAATAGATTTCTCTTTTTTCTTCTTAGAAACTTTTGACAGCAAAAACACATTTTTATAGAAGCTTTTTAAAACCATTGCTACTGTTTGTAAATTAAATTTTATTATTAATAATTGCAACAGTCCAGCTGTTGATATTTTAAATTAATTTTATGAAAACTTTTTTTTTGTTTTTTAAAAACTTTTAAAAATAAGTTTCTTTTCATTTTATAAATTTATCTGGTTGTGTTTTACATGTTGGGGGGGGGGGGATGCAAAAGTGTAATAACGCCCAATTTTGAGCTCTCATCTCAAGTTTTACTGGTTCATTGTCTGTTCCATTTATTTACCCATTATTTATATTAAATGAAAGGTAACTGGAACATCTTTCAATTACTTGAACAGTGTAGAAGTATTCTTCTTCTATAATCCATATCCATTTAGGATGTGGGCGATCATGGCTATCCACAACTTCCTATCTTTTGTAGATCTTAGTAAGGTTTCTCTTTTTACCATCTACACATTTTGCCATTCGTTCACATCATGATCATTCGACCACCCTATAATTGGTCGGAACTCCACTGATAACCTCTTTCTACACTGTTCAGTCCTTCATTGCTGATCCCAGATCCCCAGTGTCCAACCCTGAGTCTCAAGCTATGGTGTTTGGGAAATTCAATTTTATTGTCATAGGAGTAAGTATGAGACAATTTCCCTGTCCAGTCAGTGGCAGTGACTGGCAAACTTTTCATTCTCATAAGCTCATCAGTTATGTGGTCTGCAGCCTTCTGTTCCTTTTGCTTTCAATGTCTTGTGAGTATCATATTTTCTAAGCCCTCCTTCCTCGTATTTTAATTTACTGATTCTGAATAGAAGTATCCATTTTTTCTATTACCCTTATAATTACCTTATTGCTCACATGCCCCATCAATTTCTCAGCATAATTTCTCCACTAAACAAAAAAAGAGCTTCAATCCTTAACCCATAACATTGATTTATTCTTCCTCTATGTGACGTTTCCCTTTCAGACATGGGTGATCATGGTTTTCTATAAGCTCCTATCCCTCTTAGCACTTAGATTTGTACCTTTGTCAATCTTCCCACACCGTGTTCTACCATTCATTCATGCATGCTTGTGATATAAATGAACTTCTGCATTCCCCTGTTCCTTTTGCTTTCAGTATTTCCTGTAAGTGTCAAATTCTCCAAGTCCTCCTTCCTCTCTATGGCATTCCTTATACACTTCTGTAAAACTACATTTTTTTGCCCCCTGTTTTCTCTGCATCTTTGAGGAGATTGTCTTGTATTTACTACCATATAAAAGGATTGATATTACATAAGAGTTCAACACTTTGTTCATGTTTTTACTCAGTCTTAATACTTTGCTTAGTTTTTGGAAGAAACCTTTTACTATTCCAATGCAAGTTCAGATTCCAGTATCACATTTTCCATTATCTATTAAAACACTTCCCAAATATTTAAACTTCTGTACTTGTTTGATTTTGCCATCTCCAATTTCTTGTTCAAATCTTGGGCTTTTTTCACTTGTTAACAACTATATATTTAAATTAACAAAAAGAAAAGTTTTTATTCTTAATAACTTCGAACAGTGCCATGAAAATGACAAAACATTGTTGAAATACAAAAATCTCTGTGCTGTATTTTTTTTCTTTTTATGCGCTGTGTCCTTTCAGGACATAGGCGATCATGGCTCTCCACTTCCTCCCTATCCCTTGTAGCTCTCATTAAGTTCCATGCCTCTGTCAATTCCTCAAGACCACATTCTGTTATCCACTTGCTTAAGCTTGTCAGGCATATCATGAGTTGCTTTCCCTTGTCTCTTTTTCTTTTTATTCAACCTGTGAATATCAGATTCTCCTGGCCCTTTTTTCTCATTATGTGTCCCAGAAATTTCATCTGCCTCTTCCTTTTGTTAAGTATAAGCTTCCTCCTTGTTTGAATCCTCTCTAAGACCTCGTCATTGCTCACACGCTTGAGCCATGATATCCTTAGCATCCTTCTGTAGAACCACATCTTCGTTGCCTCAAGTCTCTTCATCTTTGAGGAGACCATCCAACATTCGCTGCCATATAGGAGGACAGATGTCACATAGCAGATCAGTACTCTTTTCTTTGTCACCAAAGAAATCCTCCTGTCTTGCAGTACCCTGCCCAGCTTTTGGAATGCATCCTTGGCCATTCCAATCTGTCTTTGGATCTTAGCGTCACACCTACCATCCTCCATCAAAGCACTTCCCAGATATTTAGACCTAGGCACATGCTTGGTTTTACTGTCCCTGATCTGCAAATCACATTTTGGGCTCATTGTTTTACTGATGACCATGCATTCTGTCTTCTTAAAGTTTATGTTTAGTCCCTTCTTCTGCCTCTCCCTTGTTACCTTCTGTAAGAGGTTTTGTAGTTTCTTTTCCCCTGTCTGCTGTCAGTACTGTGAACATCTGTGTATCTTTTGTTGGTAAGATTGTGGCCACCAATGCTGAATCATGATAGGATTTCCAATTCCCTCAGAATTGCCTCGCTGTATAAGTTCAGTGAGAAGACACATCCTTGCCTTACACCCCTTTCTATTTTTGTATATTTGCTGAATTCATTCTAAATGCGCATGCATACCGTTTGCTGCCAGTATAGGTTCTTGATTATTCTATCTTTCCCGAATATATCAAGGTGGCTGAGCAGTTCCAGCACACACTTGTGGCGTACTTTGTCAAACGCCTTTGTATAGCCTATAAAAAATAGATACACATTCTTCTGCATTTGTGTTGCTCTTTCTGATAACATTTGCCATTGTTAAAATAAGGATTTGGCTGATTCTTATATGGGGATTAACCACACTTCATCTACCAAAATGTTTACAAGATGGTGCTGTTCAGGATTATAAAAGAATGCACATAACTCTTTCTCTTCCTCTTTTTGGTCCAGTACCTAGTAGCAATAACACAAATTTCTTTCTTTCAGGGAAGACACTCCACAGTAGATCAACAAGTTAATTTCAAACAAACCAAACACACAAACATGTATACAAATGTTTTCCTTTTTTTTTGAGCTCTCTGCAAATAAGTAAATATAATTTTCTCCTCCTCTTCTTTCATGAACTATGTTGTACTTCATGTTAATATGTATAAAAATTCCTCAACATGTTGAAATTCATTTCTTTTGAAAGGATTGAACTTCTTTCTTTTGGATGTTTTTCCACTCAGCCCTAACAAGTAGTTGTTAATCCTGTTACAAATTGGTAACCAATAGAAACTTCTTCCAATACAAAAACATTGTTTCCAGTAGTCCATACTGGTGGAGATTTCTTGCTTTGGGCAAACTGACTTCTTAATTTCACCCAACCACATGGCACATATCACACACATACTCATATTACAACTTAGCACATAGATATTTTTCCTTCCTTCTTTTGAGCTATCTGTATGCATGTAAATATAATTGTCTCTTTCTCTCCTTTTGTAATGGATGTTCTTCATATATATATATATATATATATATATATATAAAATTTGTCTACATGTTGAATTCATTTACTTTAAAAGTTCACAACCTTTTCCATTGCAATGCAGTACCTTTCTACAACACTGCTCTTCTTTTTTAAAAATATGCCAATATTGAGTCATTATCTTTTTATTACTTTTTTTTTTAATTATTTCACTTTAAGCAAGTCAATAAAGCCACTAAGATGCAAGGGTTGGGGGTCTACTGAGTGTTAGAGAATAAGAAAAAAACATTATTAAGGAGAGCAAACAATAAAAGAACAGAAATTAAAAAAACAGAAAATAATGATTGACATTGCAATTAAATCTTTGAAAAAAACCAAAGTTCACAGGAAAGATAGAAGCCAGAAAAGAGTTCACAATCGAAAAGTCTGAGAAATGAAACTGTTAGTATAGAACTTATGGTTACATCTAACCATTTCAAATGTAAAATGATGAGAATTTTCCACCAAATTTGCCAAGTTCTAGTACTACACTTAATTTCATAAAGTCTACATATTAAAGGGGAAAGTTCATCAGACATCATTACAATGTAAGTATTTATAGAAAATTGCACAGGGAAGCTATGCTACAGCAATGGGAAAGTGACTGAAGTAGAGATACCAGGTCAAGACCAATAATATTGCAGATTCTTCTTTAGGGTTTATCAAAAATCTCTAAATATATAGCCGGAGCACTAAACTGGATGTGGCAACAATATTTAAAGCAAGGA